TCAAAAAACAATAAAAATGAAAACCTAATAAAACGTATGACATATTTCTGGTAACCACTGGACAGACAGATCAGTTATAACAATCATATCCTACACATATATCTCATACCTGTGCCGCACAATCTACAGACAGTCTACATCGAGACCTAATGGGAGGGGTGTGTTGTTGTGGAGGCAGTGCTGAGAGTAAGAGCGAGCAAAAGGAGCCAAAAGAGAAAAAGGGGGCGAAAGGGGGCAACGATTTGAGTGGCGAACTGTTTAAAGCCGAGTATAACGAGAACTCCGATGAGCGCCGTCTGATCGGTGAGGAGAAGCTGAAGGAGGAGATGAAGAGCTCATTCAAAGCCGCGGCCGCTGACGACGGCTACGCGAAGATCAAGAAGGAGACGGCGCTGAACCGCAAGAAGTCTCTTCAGCCCGAAGAGTACAACAAGAAGGGTCTGATCGCCGACGGCTCCGAGGAATACAAAAGCGTTAAGAAGTATTTGGAGGCCAAGGAGTACGCCATCGACTGCTCCATCGGCAGCGGTAACTACGCCGAGGTCTATAAGGCCTACAATAAGGACCGCATTGGCCACCGGCAGTTTCACTAACCGGACTTCTTCCGGTTGCGGCTGATGGCCGAGTTCTACAACGGGTTCCTCTAGTTTCACGACAGGGTAACGTTCGTATTCTTGTAGTAATTCTACATACTCTATGCCCAGTCAGGTAACAGGGTCTACATGATCATGGAGTTCGCACCGATGGGCACACTCACCGATTGGCTCAAGGATAAGGGCGCCTTCAGCGAGGGTACCGCTCACGTGATGTTTACGCAGATCTTGGCAGCCGTACACCACATGCACTCCCAGAGCATAGCGCACCGGGACCTCAAGCTCGAGAACATACTAATCACGCAAAAACTGAACCCCAAAGTGTCTGACTTTAGTTACGCCATGAAAGTGGACCCGAAGTCGCCGAAGAGTACCACCTTCTGTGGCTCCCTTCCCTACTTCTCCAGTGAGATTCTTCAGCGTCTCCCTCATAACCCGATTGTGTCGGACATCTGGTCACTCGGCGTGTGCTTCTATATTATGCTCAACGATGGCCTACCGTTCCCGTTGGGTAACGACAAACTCATGCTTCAGAAACAGCTGAACCGCGAGTGGAAGTTTCGGCTCAAAGTAGACCCCAAACTGTCGCCAGAACTCAAAGCTATGATTAGGCGGATGTTGGAGCCGGACATGAACGCCAGGGCTACCAGCGATCAGCTCCGGTACGACCCCTGGATTAAGAACTATAAGGAGAAATCAAATACCGGGTCAGGCTATGGGAAACAGTCGTGAGTAGTCTGTGCCGTCCGACTGTTGTGTTAAATATATTTATATGACTGAATCCTAATCAACAAAACAAACCAAAAGAGTCGAGAGAAATGTATTTGAATTTGTCGTTCATTTATGTGACAAATAAATATCATTTTAAGGCAATTGTCTTATCATTTATTAATGAAAACGTTTATTCAAATTTTAATTAATAATTCACATTAATTGTACATTAAAATTACATGAAATCGTACATAGATTGCATTATAGATTGCATCTAATTAAATAAAAACTATAAATTAAATAAAATTCTTAACATAAATTATGACTATTGATAGTAAAGTGACTAGAATCTAGTCACTAGATACTAGATTCTGTAGTAGATGATATAGTTTATAATACTGAAATAACTGTACAGTACACTTAATGTGAACTATTAATTAAAAATTGAATAAATGTTTCCATTAATAAATGAAAGGACAATTGCCTTAAAATGATATTTATTTGTCACATAAATTATATTTGATGGTTATACAGAACATATATTTGTAATTTGGAATAACACACAATAATAATAGTATTAAATGTCAATTTAAAAATTAGATGAAATAAAGTACTACTGTTACAGAAAAGTATATAATTGATATAGACATAGACACCACCAGACTAGTATTGCATAACACAATGACAAACATTTGTCTTAGTTCTTAGATTAATGCAATCAAGTTTATTATTCAATAATTAGTGCTACAGTATTTCAAATACAAACCTTTCAAATATAAAAATATCTATCATAATAGCAAATTAGATATAATCCAGGTCAGACAGAAATATTAGATCTAAACTGAGAATAATTCATATTATATTACACTCAAAGACACAATAAATATTTTTACTTTGCATTCAAATATTTGTGAAATAAATACGTCAGAAAAGTTTTACAGAAATAATTAATTATATGAGATCTTAACAAAATTTATTGTATAAAATATACAAATTACAAAAGTAATTTTCTTAATTTAATTATTTATATAATTCTAATACTAACTTATCACATAATAGTAAATACAATTACCAGAATATTTTTAAGTATACAATAAATTCATAATAATTATAATAAATTGATTGCTAATACAAACGAAAATTACAAATATTTTATATTATATTTCATAAATAATAAGTAAAACAATGTTACTATACTATCATCTAAATGCCAATCGACATAATTTGCTTTTGCTTTTTGAAAATCATGTGCACATAACTAGTGGTCAATACGATAGCCACCAAATGTGACACGACCATCAATGGGTCCCAATATATGGTGTGAACAATCATTGAGACAAATACCATGAATGCTATACCACTGCAAATGTGTAGACTCTCATAAACCATACCAAACACGGCCGCAGACACTGCCACCAAACCAACTGTCAGACCCGCTATCTTAAACTCCAGTTCCCTCTCCACTATATTTATGAAAATTCATTAAAATTTACTAATATTTTCATAATAATTAATTTCATAATTACATAATTTGTAGTCTTGTGGTGAATAGTTTTGGTAGGGATTGGAGTGCATTGAACTTAAGGCAATGATATCGTACACAAAATGTATAAAAATAGCCACAAAGTACCCGGCGTATAACAGGGTCACCAAAAATTTGTGTATTTTGTAATATTGAAAGTATTGGCTCCAATCCTTTCCGTAGATATGAATATACGGCATATTTTTAAATAAATCAATGAAATGATACTTCACTTCATTTGACACAATCATTGAATGGCTTTAAATCAATAGCTTTCGTGAGGAAGTGTTTAACTCATAAACAATAGACAGGCCTTGAATTTGAGTCAATTTCCCATTATATTAGTATGAATTGATTAATTGTTGATAAGTGAATAATCTTGTTATTAGTAATTATATACAATCAATGCTAATTAAGTATGAATTGTTTTTATGAATGACTATTAACATAACAGGATGTTGAACGTTATAAATATTGACATAATGTTATAAATTCTTTAAACTCCAGTATTAAAAAGTTTCTGAAATATAGAATTTATTTTTAATTTAAAATATAATTCAACACATTGTTTGGTATAATAAAAGTCAACAAAATAATAAAATGCACGTTAAAAATACAGTATCAATGAGAATAGTGCGACAAAAGTGACAAACAGTGGTCTAATCGCAGCGAATATCACAAACTGATGGCAACCTTAGAGGACTTATACAAAGCCGAGAGAATCGCCAAAATATGCCGAATCTCACTACTGGTGCTCAACGCCATTGCCTTCCTATGCCTCGTCCCATACGTGTTGTCCGTCCACAACAACCTGTCCATCCGTTGGTGTCCACTCATTGGACTAATAGTGACCACAAATATGACCGCAATGTTTGGCATAGTACTGGCCCTATACCAGCCGAGCTTCATGTAGCATGCCGTATTGGCTGAGCACACCTATATGCCGTAGCATACGTGACAATACCGTGAGTGACATCAGGAGCAGTGGTGAATAATAGCGGTTATAACCTGCCGGCGACTGATACGATTGCTTATCGCCGTCGCAATCATTATGATATTACTGCAGATATTTGCGTACATTTACGCCTATATACTCAAACAAACCCAGCACATTAATAGGTATAAATGTGTTAAGTGGCTGCTAATCCAACTACATTTGATGTCATTAGATGAATAAATGAATTCAATTTGTATTTGTGTTTGAACTTTCATGACTACATTATAAATTTATAAATAGAAAATAATTATGAAAAGCATACCAGACAACTCCCTGACCAGACTGATACTTTCTCAGCATTAAAGTATGGCTATATTTAAATACATAGAACTTTAATCTATTGTTTGAAAAAATTATTAAAATTAAACAAATAATTAAAAGTGAAAACAAATGAGAGAATCCTTTTAAGTGATAGACAGAACCCAAGAGAGACCAGTATTTATCAAAAGTATTTGTGTTGTCTATTCATTGCACCAAAAGTCTCAAACAGTGGTCTAATCGCAGCAAATATCACAAACTGATGGCAATCTTAGACGACTTACACTTCGCCGAGAAAGTGATGAATGTGTGCCGCATTGCACTCCTCATACTCAACGCCATTGCCATCCTATTCGTCATCCCATACACGCTGACCGCATACAACAGCCTGTCCATCCCCGTGAGTTCACTCATACTACTAGTAGTGGTCACCGATTTGATAACCTTCTTTGGCTTAGGACTGGCCCTATACCAGGGTTTGGGTACATGGTATGGCACAACCGACTCGTGTGGATATACGGCATCCTATGCACTGTTATGGCACTCACTGTATGCTTCTACTCGTACTCTAATCGCAAGTACCAGACCTTCGCCGACAGTATACTGGTTGTGGGGTTGGTCTCAGTCATGGTATTCATGCAGTTATCGGCGTACGTATACGCGTACGTACTGCAGCAGACACATTTTATCAATAGACTGCCATTTGTGAAGAATGTGCTCTTGAAGCTATACGTCGCCTCATGAAGATGAAAATGCAAATCGAGAACAGGGAGGGAATGGCAGTGGGAATGCCAATGATGGACATGGCACCGGGAATGCCAATGCAAATAAAAAAGGAAATTGAAAATAAATGAATTTTTGTTTAGTATGTAACTTATGTGTGAAAAACTTATTTAAAATTTTTGTTTAACAAATATATTTATTTGACTAATAGCTTAACAACTCTAACGGCACCCGATGTATGAACTAATAGCTCCAGCATATCATTTATACCCAGAGTGCCCAACACCTCTTTGCCCTCATCAACAAACAGGTCGTGCACTTCATATTTGGTCTCTTTGGCGGACACTTTGATCAGTTCCGACACTTTGTGTGACATCTAAGACATAAAATTCAATTGAGATAATTGTACTACTTTACGTTTTAAGTACTTATGTATCTAACCTACTGGGTAACCAGAGGATAAATCTATACACTACTGTATTCTGGTGACCGGCAAGTGGTGTCCGAGATGGCCAAAGTGGGTTTGGACAACGAGTCTTTCTTTATCCTAAATGTTTGTAAGTTTAGTATTATTTTAAGACTCAATAATTATTTCAAAAATTACTTAGGAATGCGGTTAGTGAGAGAATCGCTCCTAAGGCACAAACAGAACTAAGTGTCGTTAGTCACGGAACAAAACGTCTTAACGAAACTTAAGGCCAAAGTTAACAGAATTGTCAGTGGACATGAGTAGTGGTGACGACCACATACACCACATCGCCATTTGGGTACGACTTTGATGCCAAGACAGCCCGGAGTTGCCTATTGATAGCTCATCTGTCGATTAAATAAACAAAAATTTAATTATTAATTAATAGCACAAACCTATTAATTCTATAAACTCTACAACATACCCGGATCAGCCCAATGTCCCGGTCCTATAATTAATGAGATAAATATTTTTATAAATTTCATTTGAATACAAACATTAGCCACAAATAGTTTGTGTGAATACCGCTGTGTTTAATGAATAAATCGTTGTATTGACCGTAATATTGGATAATCTCGTCAATACTGGCCCACGAGTCCATACTATCCTTATAATTACGAAACGCGTGACACGTCTTAGCGATGGCGTCGTAATCAGGATTAATACCACTGAATCGTTGTATTGACCGTAATATTGGATAATCTCGTCAATACTGGCCCACGAGTCCATACTATCCTTATAATTACGAAACGCGTGACACGTCTTAGCGATGGCGTCGTAATCAGGATTAATACCACTGAACACGTACTGGAAGAATGGCCACTCGCACACCAACAACATCTTGTGACCTGTTTGTGGTGATTATCACACAATTATTGAATTCACACAATAGTCAACAATGTAATACCCGTGGCGTTCATAGCCTGAGCCAACTTTGGGTATAAAGTATCGTATTTTTTGGTGTCTTCGTAACAACCGTCCACTTTGAATGAGTCGACCCCCCATTCCGAGAATGTCTGGGCGTCCACATCGAAGTAGTCTTTCCCTCCCGGCGTGTGGTTATTAAGACCAGGGTATACGCTATGAAATTTGCAAATAAATTTTTATAAACATTTATTAAATGCTGTAATAATTTATTTTATAACTTATAAAATATTAGTGAATATAAGAGTGGTTATCAAAATGCTTTTGGATATGTTTTAATTGTTTTAATGATTTAAGTTTAAAATTGGTAACTATAAAGTTTTATTAAAGTATGAGTTTAAATATTTTACTTTAATTATTATAATTTATAACTTATTTGTTACATCTTAATTGTACACTACTTATTATTTTCTAAAGTTAAATTCAAACTTACTTGAACCAAATATACCATACTTGATCTGGTACTAAATTTAGTATTACAGAAGGTCTTATATAACTGTAATAATACTGGAATAAATAAAACCATAAAACAACAGTTGATTTAAGATTTAAAATTCTTAAATTGGTTTCACAAACATTAAAAATAATTTATATATTTAATTTTTAAAAATAATCTATGACGCCTATAAATAATTGTTAACTTGACACAAATATTGACCCTATGTTTACAATTATCTGGCAAAAGTGTGAGTACTGCGGGGAAAGGCTGAAAAAGCATATAAGCCTCACCCGCTACAGGTTAGGTTTCCGATGTCCCCATAGATACCAAATTTAAGGCCTTTTGAGTGCATATAATCAGTCAATGCTTTGATACCATTGGGGAATCGCTTTTTGTTGGGCACGAGTCGGCGGGTCTGGGAATCCCTTTCCACTTCACTCCATCGGTCGTCTATATTGATGTACTCATAGCCCAAGTCCTTAAAGCCGTCGGCGACCAGTCTGTCGGCCATATCTTTATACAGCTTTTCATTAACGCATTCATTGGGATATTTGTCACAATTCTCGTCGTTATCGAAAGCAGTGTACGACACGAAACCCATCGGTGGTGTCAATGCCTGGCCATCGTCTGTCCACCCGTACAGACATTGCGCTGATATTAGGGTCACAACTAGTTTTAAATACATGTTTGATTGGTATATGGACTTTAGGTTTACAAAAGTAATATGATTTCTGAATTTGTGTTAACTTTTATATAAATGTGTTGATTATAATAATAGAAAGTATTGAATGTATGTTTAACAAGGAATGTGTTTATCATTTGCCACCAGCTAAGTTGATAATCACCGGAATATATGCCTTATGTTTAAAATACAGTACTCTTTAACAATCTTATGTTATTTGGTTTACAATATACTAGTACATTTACAATTACTTTATGTTTAATTAATAAACTAGCTTTTGTTTCTATGCATTTGTGGTATTCTACAGTACAGTACTGGATATATTTTATGATAAAAAGATATTATTCTTATTTAATTCTAGTACTGATAACTTCTATCAATTCTGTATAAAATATAAAGTAAAGTGAAAATTGTAGTGTATTATCAGATAAATTATAATATACAGTAGTACTCAGTACCCTATTGACTATCAATAAATATGCCCACTTAGCAACTTATAAATAATTCCGGGTCATTTAGAGTGCATTCAATGAATTCTTGATATGACTTAAAATGTTTTATTGAAAATTAAAAACAAGTTATGTATTTTTAAAAAGTTTAGAGTTTAAATTCAAATTTACTAATTAAATGACCAGGTAAACACAATTATTATCTACTGTAGTCTAGGTTAGTCTGCGATGAAGTCTGACACAATTTATATTTATATGTATTTAATACACAATGATTATTAGACACACAAAAGTTATACAACTTTGACAATCTAGTACACTTTGACCCGATATAAAATTGATACTTATTAATTACTCATAAATATTTACATTTAAATGACTCTTATATGACTAATTGATAAATTAAACAAGTTAAAAAGTAAGCACTTTATAAAATAAAGCTTAAATCGGAATGTCCTTTTTTAAAAGTTTATAAATATGTTTTAAATGGTATCAATTTATTCTATAATTAGAGCTTAAGATGAATATCACAAAATAAAATTCCACTAGAATCACAATATTCTGTATAATCCAATTCTAATCTATCATTTTCATATATTATAAATGGCATATACTGTATTAATTCAAAATTTCTTATAGTATTTAAAATAGTTGATTATAAGTTTAAAGGTGATTAATATTAACATGAATCATTGACTATCAATAGATTTGAATTAAAAATTAATAATATATTTATTGAATTTATTACTAAAAACATACAAGAATATCTGTTTTTAAATGATTAGAATTGGATTATACAGAATATTGTGATTCTAGTGGAATTTTATTTTGTGATATTCATCTTAAGCTCTAATTATAGAATAAATTGATACCATTTAAAACATATTTATAAACTTTTAAAAAAGGACATTCCGATTAAGTTTTATTTCCTACTTAACGCTTACGAAGTGTTACATAAAGCGTATAAAATAACTCTTATTTCAGTCACAATTTGATGAATTAATTTGAAAAACAATTTCATTCACCGAAAAGACAAACAAAAAACTCACAAAAATGTGTCCAAAACTCGTGAACCAACTGACAAGTGATGTCTAAGAAGTCGCGACACAAACGCACAATAATTATGTAAAAGTCGTTAAAAATGTGTAAAAACTGTAATCTTATGTCAAACGTGAGAGTGAACTGTGAGTCACAACACGTGTGTGAAAACAATGAGTCAATTAGTGATCAATGATTTGGTGGAAGAGATTAGTGACGAAAATCAAAGACTGGTCACTGAGTTGGCACTCGAGAGGCAATTGTCTCAAGTGTTGGACAACATTAGAAACAATGCATTAGTTTTGATACAAAACTGTAAATGCGATGAAAATCAACACTTAATACAAACCATTCATCGACTTAATGGTGATTTCATTGAACGCAAGACAAATCACTTCTTGGGATCACATGTGCGCACACAGACTGTCGATGAATGTGTTTCAGGTATTTATAGTCATATAAATGTCTTTAAAATGTCTTAATTTCCGGTCATTTCAGGTGATGGTAGCGAAGCGGTCACTGAATTGAGTCCAACACTCGACTCGAGACAATCGGCGCCCGAGAAGTCGGACCACAGTTTAGCCACTGATATATCGATGGACACGACGACTGATACACACGATTTGGACACCAATTCATCACTGTTTGCGTCCATAGATACTGCAGACATAAAGCCATCGGCCTATCACTGCCATCGATGTCACCATTCATTTGGCACTATATTTGATCTCAAAAATCACGACAATATCGTCCACAAGAAGCTGATCGCAAATGTCTGCAGACATTGTCAGCGACTGTTCCACACGGCGGGCCAGTTGTCCATTCATTTGATTCTGAGCAACAGGTTTGGGTGAAACCGGTAGAGCCTGTGGTGAACGGCCAGTGGTCTTATGTCATCACATATCTAAATAGGAGACCAATGGGTCATCCAATCTATGTATTCATGAATTTTGCATTTTTAGTACAATTATCTCATTTGAATTTTATGTGTTAGATGTCACACAAAGTGTCGGAACTGATCAAAGTGTCCGCCAAAGAGACCAAATATGAAGTGCACGACCTGTTTGTTGATGAGGGCAAAGAGGTGTTGGGCACTCTGGGTATAAATGATACGCTGGAGCTATTAGTTCATACATCGGGTGCCGTTAGAGTTGTTAAGCTATTAGTCAAATAAATATATTTGTTAAACAAAAATTTTAAATAAGTTTTTCACACATAAGTTACACACTAAACAAAAATTCATTTATTTTCAATTTCCTTTTTTATTTGCATTGGCATTCCCACTGCCATTTGCATTCCCGGTGCCATGTCCATCATTGGCATTCCCACTGCCATTCCCTCCCTGTTCTCGATTTGCATTTTCATCTTCATGAGGCGACGTATAGCTTCAAGAGCACATTCTTCACAAATGGCAGTCTATTGATAAAATGTGTCTGCTGCAGTACGTACGCGTATACGTACGCCGATAATTGCATGAATACCAGGGCTGAGATCAACGCCACAACCCGTATACTGTCGGCGAAGGTCTGGTACTTGCGATTAGAGTACGAGTAGAAGCATACAGTGAGTGCCATAACAGTGCATAGGATGCCGTATAACCACACGAGTCGGTTGTGCCATACCATGTACTCCAAACCCTGGTATCCCTGGTACCCTAAGTCAAAGAAGGCTATCAAATCGGTGACCACTACTAGTAGTATGAGTGAACTGACAGGGATGGACAGGCTGTTGTATGCGGTCAGCGTGTATGGGATGATGAATAGGATGGCAATGGCGTTGAGTATGATGAGTGAGACGCGGCACACATTCATCACTTTCTCAGCAAAGTGTAAGTCGTCTAAGACTGCCATCAGTTTGTGATATTTGCTGCGATTGGACCACTGTTTGAGACTTTTGGTGCAATGAATAGACAACACAAATACTTTTGATAAATACTGGTCTCACTTGGACTCTGTCTATCACTTAAAAGGATTCTCTCATTTGTTTTCAATTTTAATTATTTGTTTAATTTTAATAATTTTTTCAAACAATAGATTAAAGTTCTATGTATTTAAATATAACCACACTTTAATGCTGAGAAAGTATCAGCCTGGTCAGGGAGGTGTCTGGTATGCTTTTCATAATTATTTTCTATTTATAAAATAGTATAACAAATTAATTAATTATTTATATAGTCATGAAAGTTAAAGCACAAATACAAATTGAATTCATTTATTCATCTAATGACATTAAATGTAACTGGATTAGCAGCCACTTAATCCATTTATACCTATTAATGTGCTGGGTTTGTTTGAGTATATAGGCGTAAATGTACGCAAATATCTGCAGTAATATCATAATGACTGCGACGGCGATAAGCAATGCATAGTCAGCGGCCGTCCAATATTGGCGATAATAAGTGGTGACGAGGACTACAGTGAGTGCCATAACAGTGCATACGATGCCGTATATCCACACGAGTCGGTTATGCCGTACGATGTACTTCGAGCC